AGGATGTCACATCGGTCCAAACTAAACCATGGGCTGGTGACCTTTGTGTCCAAACTCAAAGCTGACTGGATCTAATAAGGTCCACCTCGCAACATGATTCATTTCAAGTTGTACGACTTATCAACTCTCAGACGTTCACTTGATCGTCATCGAAACCCGATTAGTCAGCCGAATCTCAAACGTGATTTAGTGTGCTATCCGCGTAAAATTTGTGATACTAAGTATTAGTTATGATTACGCGATTCTGCGCCATCCACTGATCGTGGTGTGTGAATCAATCGGCACAACCGTGACCTGGTTATCATGGGGAATTAAAGCAGATTATTCGTTTACTGTTGGCCAAACTTTAAATGGCATTTTGTCCGCAGTCCGGAACTAGTGGTTAGCAAAGTTCCGAAAAGGACTCAGTCCGGTCGGACAGACGAATAAAATGCAACTCGATTCGAGTAAAAAACAGCTCCCACAGAAAGAAGTTTGATTTGTTATTTTAGAGTTCTAAGCTTGAACTAGCCCATTCGATTGTTAAGAGGCACCAGGCACACTTGATTTTCTTGTGCATGGGTTTCTCTCCTTGGAAGATCGTTAATTCCCCACAATTTCATGCATTCAAATGCGATGGAAATGTTTGTGAAAACGGACGAAAAGCACTGGACACCTATTTCGTCCTGTTTGGGACTCGTCAACAGTGAGTGTTTGGAATCCTAACTCGAACGTTCGCGGTTCGAGTCCTGACGGGGACACAAAACGTACGCTCTGCTGACGAGTCCCAAACAGGACGAAACAACTGTCCAGTGCTCTTTGTCGGTTATTACAAAATTTCTATCGTATTTCTTATATTTGCGGTATAAAAACGTAGCCATATAGAACTATAGTTTCAATCGCACATTAAAATTTACAGTGTACAGACCAAAAGAATCGTGAACAAAAAGTTTGGGAAACGCGATTGGGTGTCATCAGTACTGGCATTGATTTCCACTGCGAACTAAACACGAGATCTCACAAACACCGCACAAGCATACTACGCATCTGGCATATACAGACAGACAGACAGACAGACAGACAGACAGACAGACAGACAGACAGACAGACAGACAGACCGTTTTCACTTTCACTGAACACAATGGATCACCATCCTTATCTGTGGGTACTTAACCCGTTCAGCATGCTCGGTACTCGGTACTCCGAAATATTACGAACCTGATTTATTAATCCATTTTCCTACCCGTAACAATTTGATCAAAACTTCTGATATCATGTCCGGACTCAACCGCGATAAGTATCAATATTACCCGGAGCCGTTGTCCAAAAAATATCAATAGAAGATTTCTATCAACAATTTCATCGCTCGAACACGAATCTGTATTAATTTCAGAACCTGTTATTATTTATGTTGTCAGAGCATTGAAAACCTTAAAAAATAGTGATTGAGCGACCGCCCACAAAAGTTCATTCTGTGACAAATTTCTGTTGATTCATTCCGGTCTGTGTTACCATTGATGGAATATTTTTCCCATACTAGTAATTAATCAGTCACACCAACACAGATGTAGGGGAATGTGCCCCGGAGATTCGTCGGTTTCACTTGCCAGCGATCAAAAGACTGAACCCATGTGTCTCACAGCGATCCACATATAAAACTTGATTGTGAGAATCTCTCATCGATTCGTGCGTATATAACCCCACCGTAAGCATCATTCAGCTTGTATTGTATTGTATTGTGTGCCACCATCCGGCTACCTTACCGTGCGTGTGTATGTGTAGTTAAGCCAGCGCAGTGCATTCATCTTCACGTTTGTTTTTCCAAACTTTGGTTCTGTTACTCGAACTCGGGTGTATAGTGCAAGAGATCGATGGCTTATGGCTGAGTGATTGGACAATGAGTGATGCACAAGATCGGAAATACGGCTCAGTGAAAAAATTCACCTGTTTTTCATTTATAATTTTTTCCGGTGTAGCTCTATCAAATGGTAAAGTATGGTGACATCTCACAAGCTATCCACAGCCACCCACTCACTCACTCACCCGTACACCCACTTGAATTGAGTGTGCATCTGGTGCGGGTAGAGGGTTGTTTTAACCNTTTCGCTGGGCGGTAAAAGCAAATCACCGGTGTCAGTTATTGTAAGAGCTGCACTTAACGGGTGATGAAAAACACTTTTTGGGTTGGTTGAACATATCCTGGTGTGAGTCTTCGAGACGCATGCCAAACAGTTCAGCCTGTTGGTCCGCTAAAGCAATAAACCGACCGCTTTGGTGGAAGGAATATGGAGCAGCTCGAGATCCCGTGTCTGGGCGTGGATGGGATGAATCTCATTCGGTTTTTTGTTATCACTTTGGGAATGGTTCAATTGTCAGCGTTTGTAAGACTATCTATCACAGAATGCAACAAGTTAAAATAATCGCTTATGGCGATGCCACTTCTGAACATTTTCACATAAACGAATAAATCTATCTATGTTCATCGATCCTTGCACCGCATGATTCTTTGATGTTACGTCCTGTTCTATTTCTCCATGACGTCTGAGCTGACAACAGACCGGGCATTTACTGACTAACCCACATAGTGGTAAGTTTTGTAAAGTTTTCCGTGGACAGATTGGGGCACAGTATGCACACCTGTGTTCAGACGGGATCAGTTGTCGATCGTTCACCCGGCTGATCCATGTAAAGCACTAAAAAACAAGCAAATAAATAATCTTAATTTGTTTCACGTTCTTAACCGGGCCTCAGTTAACTGTACAAAGTTTTCTTTATTCTAAGATATAGTGCAAAGCAGACCCTTTATTTCCTACTCGTTAGTCATATTCTAATGAAGAGAAATCATTCTCTTGAGAATTCTGGAGCTGAGATTTTTCTGTAAACTTCTGTGTTATTCACACTGGCGAAGAATGTCTATTGAACATAGTTCTGAGTGTTATTTGACACCTGAAATGCCGAATGTTTCATACGCGTATTAGTTCCGCAGGATCGAGTTTACCTCTCTTAATTACAAGTGCCTTTCATAAATATCGATTTTTTCAGGCTGCTATTTTATTCCTTTCATGTTTTTCTAGGTGTAAACTTAATTTTCTGAGTCCCTGGAACTTTTCTGCCTAAAATTATGCGGATGGTATCCGGATTCGTTGCTCATGCCTTATTCCAAACTGTTTTCTCTCTCTCCAGGACAGCCGTAATAAGCTTCACTATAAGTCTGTGCTCTCTCTGATCGTTTGAACCTAACATCCACGAGTGTATCCCTGTTCCCCTCAGTCTCGAAACCGGTCCCCACTATCTTGCATTGGTTAGTAGTCCCCCTGTTCTACACTGACTATAGTGCTCCCCGTTAGTTATACCCGATTTAAAAGGAAAAGATTTCACCTTGTTCTCCCGACCCTGGAAACGTTTGTTTCAATTCAAATATTGTTTGATGCTTGTGATAGGTTTATTAAAAGGATCACAATCGAGCAGGGGGGCTGTGTGCATCGCGAAATCGTGGATGCACTGTCAATTACCCGACATTATTCCAAATCCTTGCCGCACGTAACCAAATCTAACAGAAGATCGGTGCACATTGGTTGGGTCGCACTTTGCACTGGGAAAAGAATGTGAAAAGACCATTTTGGTGTGTGTTTAAAACTACCCAAATAGTGGTGCGGGTGGGGACAAGCAATTTAACTTTCATAATCCCTCGGAGCGATTGGGCTTTGCGTAAACATGCTGATATGGACATTAGCCAATTAGTCCTCAGTCTTCAATTTTCAGGATTGAGGACAGAGGGCAGGGCGCGCGTGTAAGCCCCGTCACCACTGGGTCGATAGTCCGATCACAAGTGTTCGTTCCCCCATAACTCCTTCAGGTGCTCATGCAGACGCCGTTTGAAAGCAGCTTCTGTCTTCTCTTCCACTCCAATCGCTGGAAGGGAATTCCAGAGTGTTGTTGATCTATGCGAGAGTTGGTAGACTAACGGAAGACCAACTGACTGAAGTTTCCGCAACGTGAGAGAGTGTCCCCGCGTGCGGTGCTCTGTCTGTAAAGGGAAGTACTGTTGCAGCTCCGGGCCCATATCACCTCTAAGGATCTTCCTCAGGTAGATGGAATCTCCCCTGAGGCGCCGACACGCAATTGGGAACAGACCAGTAGCCTGTAGACGACCGTCATAGCTGGTCCCGCATAGTCCAACAACGAGTCTAGTGTCAGCACGTTGTACAAGCTGCAACTTATCCAGTTCACCGACCGTGCAGGGGTATATCGCCGCACCAGCATACTCAAGTCTTGGTCTCACGTGGGAAGCGTACAGTAGCCTGAAAGCGTCCATCGTGAGCTGGTTGAAGAGCCGCCGAATAGGCCCCAGAATGCTCCATGCGCTAGCACAGACCCGATCGGTGTTTTCTCGGGTCTTTAGTGATGACGTAACCATAACACCCAGGTCTCGTTTGCACGATGTTCTGCTCAATGTGGTTCCCTGGAAGTTGTAGACTATCTCTGAATCAGCACACCCCAAGTGTAGGCGAACACACTTTGCTGTATTGATTGGAAGAGCCCAGGTATCCGCCCACTGAGCCAGGTTGTTCAAATCCGATTGAAGAGAACTTCGATCATTCGGATCCTTGATTGTACACCAGATTTTGATGCCATCCGCATACATTACGGATGGGCTGCACAGTTGACCGGGCAGGTCGTTCACATATACCACAAAGATCAATGGACCAAGAACCGAGCCTTGGGGGGCCCTACTGGGAGCGGAGCGCTAAAAACTTAAAATGACTGGCAAACAATATAAAGGGGAATCTTGATGACATGCCCTGTTTATTTAAACCAAATTCGCCCCTCCCGAGAGCAGGTAATTCATGGAGTGAGCTATCATTTGGCTGGTCCCGATGTTGGTTGTTCTATCGGGAGGGGACTGGCGCTGGTTCTCGAAAGATTAATGTCGTACCCAACCAAATATGCATACATTCTTGCTGTATATTCTGATGCAAACATAGTGTGTGTGAGATAGAGTTGAACAGAGTCCGAAGCACTTACCGATCTACGTAATCACCCAGGAATAGGTACTTCGTATCCGGAGGTTTACCGCATCGTTTGATGTAACGCAACAGATCCTCGTATTGGCCATGAAGATCACCAATAATGGTAACCGGGGCATTGACCTGAAGTAGAATCGGCTCCATCATGAACACCTCGCGTACAGATTGTGCCAGTTTGAGTAGACTCTGCTCCGTAACTCCTTCCTTTTTAGGGAATCGAAAGACAAAGGAGAAATTGCGTGAGCCTATTTTGTGTGTGTTTGAGACGGGGTGTGGGATGGAGCAGGATGAGTAAGTGCATGAGTGAATGTGGACTTCTATCGTCCCGGTCACAAACCAGACCAGGTACTTTTCGGTCTTTTATTTTATTTCCCAGGACGAGTGAGGTGGACAACCAGAGGATACTATCATACAACACTGAGAAGATGAAGAATGTCGGTCAGTGCTGATAAAATTCGAACACGTGTCATCCCGGGGGGGGGGTCGATAAGTTGGTGACCTTGACCGCTTGATCATCACCGTCTAACATATCAGAACACGTGATCGCCTAAGAAAGTTCAATGGTTTTTTTCTTTTTTTGCACGGAACAAAGTTAGACTTGAAAAATTATCTAATATTTTTATGTGAAGTTACACAGTGCTATCACAGTGAAATTGGTGATACTCGGTCGGTGGACATTTTGGTTGTCATGGCCTATTGTATCAAAGACCGGTTTGCAATCGACATATATCAATATACCTCCGTTCAAACAGAATATATGCATGAAGATATTCATCAGTACACGGTTGCAGTAAGGTACTCTGATTCTATTTAATCTTGAAAACGATTTGGTTTATACGTAAATGATAATTCTAGATACTCTGGTTTGCATACGGTGTATTTATTATAAAAATCATGACGACAAGTGGTCGTCGCGGTGGTGGGAGATGCCGGGGTAGGATTGCTGGTGCAATCCCGTGCTTCACTTGTAACCGTGATTCGTGATCTGTATCCTCGCATCAACTTCAATTAGTACAGTGGTTCACTAAGTCTGCTTAACGAATGCCATCTTCATAGATGACTCAATTCTTCTAAAATGAACTACATAAAAAGGATTAAGTTCACGATTTTTGTGCTATTATTTTAAGATAATAATAAACAGTTCATTTTTAAGATGAATTGTTATCATTCAGTAGAAAGTAGGATAGTGGTATTGCAGTTCCAATTTACTTTACTTTCGACATTTGGTTCAACAGATAGTTGTACTGCGCAATCACTGTGGTTAGGTTATGATAAACAGGTTGACCAGACCATGGCGTGGTCGGAATAGCAGAGTTAGAACACCAAAAGGCTACTACTACATCTACTACTACTACTACTAACGGAGATATGAGTAACCTTTGTTCGCTCCCAGTTGATTGGATACTGCAGTTAGCAGTCAGAATTAGAGGTAAGCAAGAGTAGGATTAAAATCTTAGTCAGAAAAAGTGAATTAACTATACAGTTGTGTTGTAGAGCATTGTGAGACCAAAATCTAAGGCCAATTTATATGATCCGTATGGACTTCACTCAAATTCATTAGACTTTTGTCGCCGAATTGGATATCAAACAGCATAGATGTGTGCAACTTTAAAATTAAATGACTTAATTTGCGGGATTTTGTAGTCCTGATAGAATGTTTAAAGTTTTGCGGATAGTGCAACCTAAAGTTTTACACTGCACGATTTAAGTCCAGCATGGTGCATAGAGCAGAAAATACAATGTCTCTATAGGGCTTTAGCATGGCAACAAAGTAAAGCAAAATAAATCAAAAAAGATAAAACATAAAAGAAGGAGGGGTAAAAGCACTATATCACCACGGTAGGGAGAGACTAACAAACACAGGGAGGGACGTCTATCGATTGATAGCAATCGCTTTAGAAAACCTTAGCAATCTTGCGACTCGTGATTTGTAGGCAATCTGAAACGCCGTGTTTCGGTCGATCTGGTGTTGCGTAATCAGCAGATGTCGATCAATGGCTGAGGACGGAGTCTTGTAGTTTCGACCGTT